ACACAGCCCTTCACTTTGCCCCAGCATTCTCTCTCCTCCAAACACGATGAGTTGTGTTTCTACCAAACAGTTCTATTTTGGTTTCATCTGACCATATGACATTCTCCCAATCCTCTTCTGGATCATCCAAATGCTCTCTAGCAAACTTCAGACGGGCCCGGACATGTACTGGCTTAAGCAGGGGGACACGTCTGGCACTGCAGGATCTGAGTCCCTGGCGGCGTAGTGTGTTACTGATGGTAGCCTTTGTTACGTTGGTCCCAGCTCTCTGCAGGTCATTCACTAGGTCCCCCCGTGTGGTCCTGGGATTTTTTCTCACCGTTCTTGTGATCATTTTGACCCCACGGGGTGAGATCTTGCGTGGAGCTCCAGATCCAGGGAGATTATCAGTGGTCTTGTATGTCTTCCATTTTCTAATTATTGCTCCCACAGTTGATTTGTTCACACCAAGCTGCTTGCCTATTGCAGATTCAGTCTTCCCAGCCTGGTGCAGCTCTACAATTTTGTTTCTGGTGTCCTTCGACAGCTCTATGGTCTTCACCATAGTGGAGTTTGGAGTGTGACTGTTTGAGGTTGTGGACAGGTGTCTTTTATACTGATAACAAGTTCAAACAGGTGCCATTGATACAGGTAATGAGTGCAGGACAGAGGAGCCTCTTAAAGAAGAAGGTACAGGTCTGTGAGAGAAAACAAAAAAAGAAAGCGCCAATCAACAATATCAATCCTCTCCAGCAGCAAACCTTTAACCCAAAATATTGGTAAAATATAGAAAATCAGCAATTGGAATGCGCTAAATATATCAAAATTAATATCACAAATATGTGTATAAAAGTCCCAACATTATAAATACAAAAAACTTTTCAGTGAAAATAATCCATAAATTTTGTGTATATAAGTGTATAGAAGAAATGTCCAACACCCCAAAACAGAAAAATTTTCTTCTTTAAACATGTAATTCCACCGTGCTTTATCCACCACCAAATGAATGGAATAAACTCACCAGAGCTCAATGCTGATTAGATTATAAATCAGCACAAGCGCGTTTGCTCTGGGAGCGATGAATAAGTAGATCATGAAGCAGCACTCTATAGTATAGACACTTCCAGATAGCAGGAACAATACTCTGCAGTGATTTTGAGGTATAGCCAAGACTCCTTATAAAACGATCATCCTCCAAATGTATAGTAACATCACTCAAAAATAAAGAAAAGGCATGATGGTGCAGCAAGTAAGAACCATTAAAACTTTTATTTCAATCGCATCCTACTCACAAAATAAAGTGTCCACCTGACACTGGTATAGCAAACGATCAGATATACGGAATGGACGAGCCCCGTTCACCGCGGACACCTCGCCGACAGCTCCAGGGAACGTCCTGACGTCATCCAATAAGCTCCGCCCATTGAGCTCTGGTGAGTTTATTCCATTCATTTGGTGGTGGATAAAGCACGGTGGAATTACATGTTTAAAGAAGAAAATTTTCTGTTTTGGGGTGTTGGACATTTCTTCTATACACTTATATACACGAAATTTATGGATTATTTTCACAGGTCTGTGAGAGCCAGAAATCTTGCTTGTTTGTAGGTGACCAAATACTTATTTTCCACCATAATTTGCAAATAAATTCTTTCTAGATCAGCCAATGTGATTGTCTGGATTTGTTTTCTCATTTTGTCTCTCATAGCTGAGGTCTACCTATGATGCCAATTACAGGCCTCTCTCATCTTTGTAAGTGGGAGAACTTGTACAATTGGTGGGGACTAAATACTTTTTTGCCCCACTGTATGTGGCTGAAATTTAAGTCATCAAAATCTCTTAGGCCAAAATCGATCATCATTATTATATATATGTAATGTGTTTTTATTATTTGTGTGCATTATTTATGTATATATCCTTTTGTGGAAGCTAAACAAAATCAAATTATTTTCTCTCCTTTTTTTTTGTCTCAGCCGACAATGCTTTCGGTGCTGCAGATTATTCAGTGTGCGGTTCCCCCTTGGTGTCCAGTCGGATAGTTGGCGGTGCAGATTCATTGGATGGGCGGTGGCCCTGGCAGGTTTTTGTTACAGATAAAGAATCAGATGGAAAATATTTATGTGGAGGCTCCCTGATCTCACCACAGTGGGTCATGACCGCAGCGCATTGCATCCACAAGTGAGTATAACCTGTTACCTTTCTAAAGCAATTCTTCCATCAGACACCAATCATTCTACTTTTGGAAAAATGTTTCTAAAAATGATTCATGTGCATGTTTACTGATACAATGTTCATGTCAGGAATCTACTACAGCTAATGGCAATTCTTCTGCAATGAATGCCAAATCTTCTACAACGAATACCAATTCTTCTAGAACGAATGCTAATTGTTCTACGTCTAATACTAATTCCCATGCAGCTAATGCTCGTGCATGTGTACCAGCACACAGATGAGCTCAGACTAATATCCACTGACATGTAGGCGCATCTCTGAGCACCAATGCACATTGGCACGCATGTCTTCCCGCATTAGCACCGAGCTAACTATTTAAAGGGGACTCTGCTGTATACTAATCAATGGGTGTTCTTCAGCTTTCTGTGATCCGTGTTCCTGTTTGTACTGACTGATCTTCCGTTGCTGACCCAACTTGTTCCTGACTTTGGCTTGCCTCTGACTATGCTCTGCCTGATCCTCCTGGTGCTGACCTTGGCTTGCTACTGGACCTCACTCTACCTGCTTCATTGGTACCAACCCCAGTCTGCCTCCAGACCGCCCTGCTGTCTCACTGTGTAAGAACCAGGCTTACCTTGACTACACCCTTGACCATGGCAGTCACCTGCTGTCAAGCTATCAGCACCCATGCTTCTTTGAGCCTTGTACCTCTGTCACCACATTCAGGGGTGCTCAGACCAGAGCCGCAGGGGAAGCCTTCTCTTCAACTCGGCCTCCACTCAAAGTGACAGTTCATCTTTGCTCATCATTGACCACCATTGATTGGTTTAACAAGAATGAGCAAAGAAAAAAAGCACAAGGGAGTGCAGTCTGTGTATAGTGTAGCCTGTGTACAATCACAATCTCAAAATTAAGTGATCAGAGAGCAGATCACCAAGTGGGAGTCACCAAGTGGGAAGCATAAACCAAGTGGGAAGCATAAACCAAGTGGGAAGTCCATTGGTGAACAAGGATGGTCAGATCCACAGAAGGTGTAAATCCTTGCCAGGATGCAAACAGGGACCGCTGTCACGCACAGAATCTGGAGGAATCACCAGGAGTGGACAATGGCCACTGTCAGAAGAGGAACCGCCCCTCTGGATGACCCAGTAGCCAGTGGAGGAACAAGTTTCCGGGAGGATTTCTTTAGCCTACCTGGGGACTACCTATTTTTCTGGTTCAATGCATTTTTATTGAAGGGTTACAGAAATACAATGACATATAACAGGAACATAAAAAAGGTGCACATAATGCATCAGTACGGGTTATAAAGTCATGACACCGGTATCAAACATCAACATAAATGCATAGGACTCTTCTGGTCATGAAGTCCATGTTCAAATGAGTCGTATAACAAGGGATAACATGCCAGACCTGGAGAAGAGCAGGGTTCGGAATCTGACCAAAGAGGGAGTAAGAAGATAATTTCCAAACAAATATGTCCAGGTGTGACTCGTTATGACAAAAAAGAAGTATGCACCAGCACAGTAATGCTCTGGTGTAACTAAAAACAGAAAAAAACGAAAAGAAAAAAAAAGGGGGGGGGGGGGGCTGAAAAGGAGAGAAAGAAGAAGAGAGAAGAAAAAAAGAAAGGGGTAAGAGTGGAGAAAGGAGCCTTGGAATGCTACAACCAGCCTAAAACCCCAACCCCACACCCAATGGGGGTGGGGGAGCCACAGGTATAGTGCCCTATGGTCAGGCTAGAAATAGTCTAACCATGAAGACCAGATTTTCAAGAATTTGTCCTACTCATCTTCCAATATGGCTGTCAATTTCTTGCTAACCATGATGCTGTAGTGGGTTTTAATTTCCTGGAAGTTGAGTACAGGAGACTGGGCGATAGTTTTCTTGGTTGCAATGAAAATAAAAGTGATAGTTTTGGCCTACTTTTTGCATATCGTCTGAATGGGCTTGTTTAACAGAGCTTCACTGGGTCTTCCTAAGATTACAGTGCAGAAGTGTGCCAATCAGTCTGTATACCCTAATCCACAGCCTTCGGGCTTTTGGGACAAGTCCACCATATGTGGGCCATTGTACCCTCCTGCCCACAGTGTCAGAACTGCACTAAGTGATATTAACCACTTCAATCCCAGGCACTTTTGCCCTCTTCCTGCCCAGGCCAATTTTCAGCTTTCTTTGCTCGCACACTTTGAATGACAACTGCGCGGTCATGCAACACTGTACCCAAACTAAATTTTTATCATTTTGTTCACACAACTAGAGCTTTCTTTTGTTGGTATTTAATCACCACTGGGGGTTTAATTTTTTGCTAAATTAATAAAAATACTAAAAATGTTGAAAGAAAAGCTTTTCTTGTTTTTTTCTTTGTTTCTGTTATAAAAAACTTTCAAAGAAATAATTGTTCTTCATAAAAACCAATATGTATTCTGCTACATTTTTTGATGAAAATAACCCAAATAAGTATTTATTATTTAGTCTGTAGGAAAGTTATAGAGTTCACAAACTATGGGATATATCTGAAAATTGATCAATCCTGAAGTACTGACAGCCAATCTAATTATTGAGGCCCAAAAATGTCAGAACAGTACAGATATCCCCCAAATGTCAGAACAGGACAGATATCCCCCAAATGTCAGGACGGTACAGATATCCCCAAATGTCAGAACAGGACAGATATCCCCCAAATGTCAGGACGGTACAGATATCCCCAAATGTCAGAACAGGACAGATATTCCCCAAATGTCAGGATAGGACAGATATCCCCCAAATCAGGACAGATATTCCCCAAATGTCAGGATAGGAAGATATTCCCGAATGTCACAGGACAGATATCCCCCAAATGTCAGGACAGTACAGATATCCTCCAAATGTCAGGACGGTACAGATACCCCCAAATGTCAGGACAGTACAGATATCCCCCAAATGTCAGGACAGTACAGATATCCCCCAAATGTCAAAACAGTACAGATATCCTCCAAATGTCAGGACAGTACAGATATCCCCCCAAATGTCAGACAGTACAGATATCCCCCAAATGTCAGAACAGTACAGATATCCTCCAAATGTCAGGATGGTACAGATATCCCCCAAATGTTAGGACAGTACAGATATCCCCAAATGTCAGAACAGTACAGATATCCCCCAAATTTCAGGACAGTACATATATCCCCCAAATGTCAGGACAGCACAGATATCCCCCAAATGTCAGAACAGTACAGCTATCCCCCAAATGTCAGGACAGTACAGATATCCCCCAAATGTCAGGACAGTACAGATATCCCCCAAATGTCAGGACAGTACAGATATCCCCCAAATGTCAGAACAGTACAGATATCCCCCAAATGTCAAAACAGTACCAATATCCCCAAATGTCAGGACAGTACAGATATCCCCCAAATGTCAGAACATACAGATATCCCCCAAATGTCAGGACAGTACAGATATCCCCCAAATGTCAGGTACAGATATCCCCAAATTTCATACAGATATCCCCCAAATGTCAGGACGGTACAGATATCCCCCAAATGTCAGAACAGTACAGTTATCCCCCAAATATCAGAACATACAGATATCCCCCAATGTCAGGACTGTACAGATATCCCCCAAATGTCAGGAAAGTACAGATATCCCCCCAAGTGTCAGAACAGTACAGATATCCCCCAAATGTCAGGACAGTACAGATATCCCCCAATGTCAGGACAGTACAGATATCCCTCAAATGTCAGGACAGTACAGATATCCCCCAATGTCAGGACAGTACAGATATCCCCCAAATGTCAGAACAGTACAGATATCCCCCAAATGGCCCCTTTTTGCAAAGTAGACAGTCTGAATTATTTAGTAAGGTTCATGGTGAGTTTTGTGAAGTTGTAATTTTTTTTGTCTTAATATTTTGGAAACTGAAGGAATTCAAACATTTTTTTTACATCAGGTCACCAGTGCAGTACAGCATCATCAAATAACTGGTGTGGCAGTGATCAGGGACAATGACTGGTGACATTATGGAAAAAAAAAAATATTTTCCACACAGAAAAGTGGGTCAAACAGGCTAAAATTCAATCATTTATTTGAACGCCTGAAAGGCCAAGGTTCGTTCTGAACTAAGGTTTGAACCACATCGTTAATTCCTTTTTTGTTGTCATGAAGCCACCTCCAGTGTATGATTGGACAGTCAAGGAGAATCAACATCCTGATGGGCTCCCAACCTTTTAGATCTAACTAATTTACATAAAATTGCATTCCATTCTAAACCATCAATAGAGATTACTGTGAATTAGCGTGACAGGAAATTCTGAGGACCCTACTTAGGCTCATAATATTGAGTACATTTCGGCAGAAAACAGATTATGAACATGCTGTGTTTCATTCATTAGATTCTGAAGTTCAATGATAGTAACGATATTGAATTTCTGTTGCAGATAGGTCCTCATTTATAAATGTCATATACTGTCTTCTTTCTGCAGACCTACCCAGCTATCGAATTATAAAGTATATTTGGGCATGTACAAGATGAATGTGATTAGCTCTCATACAGTTGTTGCCAATGCAAGGGCTATCATCGTCAATAGTAATTTTAAAAGAGAAGGAGGCCCTGGGGACATCGCCCTACTGCAGTTGGACACGCCTGTCAACTATACTCAGTACATCATGCCGATCTGTCTGCCATCTTCCAACACCACCTTCCCATGTGGCATGGAGTGCTGGGTAACCGGCTGGGGAACAAGATCTTCCGGAGGTGAGTCCATGAACTGGTAAACAAAAGTGATTTCACTCGTTATTTATTCTAATAAGTCAGGCCTCTCAAGTACAGCTGATATGTCATGTTAACTAGGGATGGCCGATTCTGCCAGGGATTACTTCACGGGGGGCTTGCTGAATTATGTTTGAAATCCAAACTTAGCAATGAATCCTATAGAAGTCTGTGGGGAAGAGGCAAGGAAAGGGGGTGGGGGGAAAGGGGGAGAGGCTCCTTTTAATGCATTTTTAAAGGCAATATGGACAAAACACAATTCCTTTCAATTACAAGCTTGGGAGTATAGATGGGCTCCGGGTTTGGGTCAAACATGAGCTCAACTCAAACCCAAGTCATTTCAGGAATTAATCTGGCTTTCATTTCTATAATAACTTATCCAGGGAATATCCAATTGCCTCTCGGGGGATCAGGAAGGAATTTTTTTTCCCTGCAGGAGAAAATTGTATCATGCTTTGCTGTGTTTTTTTGCCTTCCTCTGGATCAACTGTGGGTGTAGGATTATAACTTTTTTTTCTTTTTAATGGTTGAACTGGGTGGACTTTTGTCTTTTTTTGGCCAGACTGTGTAAATAATTACCAATATTGCACTACCTGGCCTCTGAACTGAAGTCATGGGGCTTGAATGGGTCAGTAATTGGGGTTTTTCTATGGCCAAGCACCTGCCCTATAATAGTAAGTGTCAGGGGCGAACTGACCATTTGGAAACTCGGGCACTGCCCGAGGGCCTGGGGTCAGTAGGGAGACCCATGAGATGCCCCTGGTACCTTTTTCATAGGCTTTTTTGAGTTTGGGCAAGGACACAGGGCCCCATGATCCCCTATTGCCCAGGGGCCCTATGAGTTGTCAGTCCACCCCTGGTAAGTGTTCAAAACAATGTTTTGTCAGTGTGTGGTGGAGAGACCTGAAGTAGATAAGGAAAACCGACAGAGTGTTTGTAGGGGGAGATTGTTACTGCTATATATGGTGGTGCTTTACAAGGTCAGCGTATGTTGGAGAGACCTCAAGTAGATACAAAAAGCCAAGTGTTTGCAGGTAAAGATAGTTGCTGCTATACTACACAGGGCTGAACAGTGCTACACCCGGCTCTGTAGGTTGCCACATTAAAGTGAATTACAGTGTGATGTGCTATATAGTGTGTACCTTTAATACCACCCCCCATGTTCATTGTGCTATACTTTGGAAAATTATTGTAATTTCAGTGTGGTGGGCTACATATTATTGTGTACTTCCTCTGCAAACAGTCCTTTATAGTGCTACAATTTTGTTTACAGCAACAACAACTACACTTGCTGTTTAGCTGCTAGGCTCCCCTTGCAGTTTCCTTTAATTTGGTATTTTATTGTTTTTTTTTTTATATTTTACTTGCAGTTAGGTTATAAAAACAAAAAGATAAACCAAACCAAACCAAAAAGTTCAGGAGTTTAGTGCTTTTAGATTTTGTGTTTTTTGGGAATTAGGGTTGGGGTTTAGTGGTTTAGATTTAATTTTTTTAAGAGAGATATATTTTATTTTAATATAATTTTGCTAAGATTTTTATTTAAGGGTCAGCAGTGTGAACTTGTTGGGATGCAAGCAAATCTGCCCTATGTTTGCAGCACATCACTGCATACTAGAGAAGTAGAGTTTAGTATGACAAATCAGCACATTGTTAAGTGCTCCAAAGCACCACATCGTTAATCCCTCTATCGCCATAGCTGCTAAAAAAATGAACTAATCCCCTGTATTTATAATGTCAGGCAGGCCTTTATGGAGAGGCATGGGTTCTGCATGCACAGCTTAGTAGAGGGCAATTGGGTTTTGCATCTACAAATAAAAAAATGCACCAAAATGATATGATTCATTCTACAAAGAGGACACCATGGACTATTATGTGTCCAGGCTGGACCACTGGTCTGTACTTACACAGTACTCTCTTATTTTTTATTTCTCAATAAAACCTGCCTGGTCTCTCCCTCTGAAAGTGAGGCCTAGTAAAACTGTTTACATACTGTACATGAAGTCTGTACAATAGTTATGGCTTTTTTTTTCTGTGAAATAATACACTCTATTTTTTTTTTTTTAAGTAAAACCTGCCTGGTGTCTCCTTGTGAAAATGCAGCCTACTAAAGCTGCTTACATAGTATGCATTAAGTCTCTATAAAAGTCCTGTTTTTTTTCCTGTGAAATAATATTTAAAAAATCTGCCTTGTGTTTCTCTCTGAAACTGCTGCCTACTAAAGCTGCTAACATATTGCACATCCAGTCTACAATATTTTATCGCACATTAGAAGTCTAAAAAAGCATGGCTGCTATACCCCCTAAAGGCAAAGGAGTGAAAAAGGCTGCATAAGGAGTCCATAGAAATGGATGGAGAGAAGGGGTGCATTAGCAGCACTTATAGGCAAATGTCTCTTCTGCACTTGGAAGGATTAATCCCTTGGCGCTGGCGCCTCCCGGCACTTTAAGGGTTTCAGAAGTCGGGACGCGGGGCGGGGTTTAGGGGTATGTGACTGCCATGACACGCCATCACAGCGGTCAAATGATCGGGAAAGATCCCGATCGAAAGAGGAGATCAAGACCTTCCCGTTGAGTACCGGACATGTGTGCTGGGAGTGCGCAGGGTGCTCGCTCTCAGCAGATATTTTTTTTTAATAGAATGCAAATGTGCGGCCGCTCAGCGTCTAGGCCCAGACTCTGGGAGGCCGCACATTTGTGCTCGGCCGGCGTGAAGAGGTTAAAAAAGGAACTGGTTCTCAGCCACTTCACCAAAGCCCATAGATTGATTGGCAGGGACCGCCCAAATCTCTATCAATGCATGGGCACTGTGATTGAACAGAAGAAGATCTACTTTTTTACTTACTGTATCTACAACCACCCTGCTATAGCCTGCAGCCCTGATCAGTGTATTCTGATAAAGAGGAAGTGGCTGTACTTAAAAAATACTGTACCTCAAGACACGGCAAATAAATTGGCAGCTTCACTCACAGAGGCACCAGCTAAGCAGCACCAACAATTTGCCCTCTTTGAAGCTCAGTAAGCTCTGACATAACTCCATATTACCAGCAGCACATGCAGTGAATGAGGAAAGGAAAGGCTTCCCACCTGTTAGCTAGGTGTCTCATCACACAGCGGAAGCACAAGAATGTTACATCACTTCCGCTTTTAAAGCAAAACGTCGTCACTTTCACACCTGAAAATCATGGAGTGTTTCCATATTTTTATCCAACCCCTGTATTTACTCAATGCAACATCATCTTTCATATGTTACCAAAAACATTGTCATTATTTTGTGTCTGTGTGCCCTAAAATTAACTTTATTGTATTTTTTACTAGAATTTTGCACTTGACAAACCTTTCTGCTAATATCGTGTGACTAAAATATAGCTCTTTCACTATTTTACTCTCCATAGTCTCTGCTTTTAGAAACTATTTTCATTTGGAGGGG